GTTTACGCAGGCATTTAGTTTGCACAAAAGGTCACTTTTGTCCCAAAAAGATATTGGGTACTCCAGTACATACAGAAAATGCTGTTTTAAAGTTGTATCTCCTAATTGACATTCCAATGTCTGGAGGAAGGACCTACCTTGAGCTTTACCTGATGCTCCCACAATCAGTCTCTACTTAGCTTTTTCCCTAATGTAATATTTTAATACGTAGTAAGTAGACCTGCGTCCAAGAGAAAGTTAATCAATTGGCTTCCACTCTTCGTCATATGTGGGGCTCGCATGGGGAAATTCACGTTGACCAGATCAAATCTGTAGGAGCTTCAAGGCCTTCTCAGTTCTCATCCAACCCTGTTTCCCTCACCAACATCTGGGGAGTGAGCCTCCCGTCAAGTTCACTTGTTTCTTTGAGCAATCATTCTGCCAATGGTCTTCTTCCTTCCATTAAGTTTTGAACCTAGGACCCACATACCTTATTCCAAAGACCTTCTTCCTTCCTTAGGTCACCATCTTCCTCCCAAAGCCAGGTACAGGGAACTTTGCTCTATGAAAGTCATTTTTATCATATTCAGATTATCTGGGTTTTCTGGATCTACATCTGCATAACACTGGCAGGCTTGATAGATTCTCCCTTAACAGAGTCTGGCCAGGTTTTTGTAAGACTCTTTGACCTTATGGAGACTTTGTTTAGAAGCACCAGGCTCAATAGGGTCCACCTAATTTGCCTCCAGTGTACTAGCAGGATCCTCCACATGGAGACTGTGTGCTCTCCGGCTTTGTCAGTGACCATCTTCCTTTCCTGTGAGCATGCTATTCACCAGAATAGCAATGTCTGCCTACCTCTGTGATAATTGATAAAAATGGAGGAAGAGAACTCAGCCCCTCCTACTGAGAAGATCCTGTCCACAGGACTGTTTTCCCAATTAAATCCATCAGAAATAGAATTGGGCTATGCCTCCTTACACGTTTAGTAGGTTGCCTCCGAACACTTGCCGCATCAGGAAGGGAAAAACCCATCCTTCAGGGTTTCTAATTACATTTCAGGCTCCTAATTACCTTTCAGACTCCATACCTTTGTCAGGAGAGGCCTGCCCTCTTGGGAGAGGGCAAACAGTTATTGCTGGCCACCAGCCGAGGGCTGGGCGTCACAGCTGTGGTAGGAAAGTGCCCCCGCAGCTATATGTGATGCTTCCAGAGGTGAGGGTTTAAGTTATCGATTAATCTCTCTCCAGACTAGCCATCAAGTAATAAGGGTGGGGTCTTACCTGACCTCTGAACCACAGTAGTGTTCAACATATTTTTCTCTTTCTCCAAATAATGTGAGTCTTAGAGAAAAAGATGACATTCCTTACATCTGTAGTGTACTAATTAAGTGACCCATTCATGAGGCACTTTTCTCCCTGACTCCATGGCATATTGTGGCCAAGCTATAGTGAGATAAAATGCCATTTCTTTTTGGTCATAGGACTAAACTATAATCAGACTATTTTGTTAGGAGTCCTATTTGGAACCGATGGCGAGTTCCCCATTTTGATAAAAGTGAAAACAGTTATGAGCACACAGTCTGCATGTACTCAGAGAAGTATAGGCAGAATAAGGGAATCACACACACACAGTCTACCAGAATCAGAGGTCAAGACCACAGATTTCAGGATAAAAGTCCTACAACTATTCCGTCTCCTACAGTGCTCTCTGAAAACTAGATGAGCAGACTTCTTTTGAAGTGAGTCTAATGAGGGAGTGAGGAGAGAGTTCTCAAGAGTACACCTCAAGATGACAAAGTACCCATTCTGATGCTGCAGATCATTTTACCTGAGGCTATTTCTTAATCTGCTACTGAGGGGCTATGAGGGTAACCCTCCTTAAGACAGAAAAGGAACAGGTTGTCCCCAGGACTAAAGTGGCCTTGGTAGCTGCCAGGGACTTATCCTTCTACTCCCCAACCTGGGTCCAGTCCACAGCAGCAAAATCCAGCCTCACAGTGGGTGCCAGTTGTAACTGTACAAGGTTTTGTTCTGCCTCCTGATAGTCAATAAATGAAGGGCAGAGTGATGGAGGGAGAAAGAGCTTCATTAACATGCCAGCATTATTAGAAGATGCCATGCTGTCCCCTTCAGTGACCTTGTTGCCCCTTGCCCTAAGGGAGAGTTTAATATGATTTTTTCAAGGAAAGATTCATGGAAAGCTAAGCAAATACCAGAGAGGTGGAACCTCTTCTGAAATGTGGGCTAGGTCAACATCTTATCTGGATCATATAGGTCAGTGAGAGTTGCAATCCAGGGGGTCTGAAGAGGACATTAGTAATCAGTACAGAAGCTTTGATCACTGGAGTGGCTGGTGTCTTGTTTTTGCTGTGGGCAGCATTTCTGGCAAGCACACTTCCAGGTATGACCTTCTCCCATAACTTGGGACTAGGGAGTATCTGGTAAGGGAGGGTTCGGGACACGCCTAGCTAACTTTAATATGCAGTTGATCTGTAAGTGATAGAGTATGTAAAAGCGAAAAGAAACTTCTGAGAATTGAGTCTCATTCAGTGGGGGAAGGGCTTATGTGTGCTTTTAATGTTACATATAGGAAACCCAAAAAAGATTCCTCCAAAAAGCCATTAGAACTAATAAATTCAGCAATGTTGCAGAATATGTCACATACAAAAATAATTAGTGTTTCTGTATGTCAATAGTGAATTATGTGAAAAAGAAAGCAATTTCATTTCTAATAGCTACCAAGAAAAATAAAATATCTAGGAATAAATTTAACCACAGGGGTGAAAGATCTCCATAATGAGAAATATAAAACACTATGAAAGAGACAGGATGCAAAAAAAAAAGGAAAAAAAATATCTGGGTTGTATGGACCTTTTGACAATATTGATACTTCTAATCCATGCACAAAGTGATCTTCAGATTCAGTGCAGTCCCTATCAAGTATCAATTATATTCACAGAATTMGAAAAAATAATCCTAAAATTCATATGAAACAAGAAACTAAAAATGGCCGAAGCAGTATTCTTATTTCAAAATATACTACAAAGGTGTAGTGATTAAAGTGGCATGGTATTAGCATATAATAGACCTACATATCAGAATGAGACAAAATATAGAGCTCAGAAGTGAACCCACACATCTCAAGCCAACTGATCTTCAACAGAGGTGCTAAGAAAGCACATTGGGGAAAAGTGGTCTATTTGGGAAACTGATATCCAAGCAGAAGAATGAAACTAGACCCCCATCTCTCAATAGTTACAAAAGCCAACCCAATATGGATTAAACACTTAAGTGTAAGACCTAAAATTAATAGAAGAAAACAGAAAAATGTTCAGGACTTTGGATAACAGTCAAAAGCAGAAAAAGAAGAAACATAGCCTACAGGAGCAGAGAAAATATCTGCAAAGCCTACATCTGATGAGGAGTTAATAATCAAGATATGTAAGAAACTCAACTCAAAACACAGAAAACAAACCATAGATAATCCAATTTTTAAAATGGACAGCAGATATAAATAGGTGTTTCTTAACACAAATGGCCAACGTGTGTGTGAAAAAAATGCTCAACATCAGGTACTATCTGGGAAATACAGATCAAAACCACAATGAAGTATCCCTCCATTTAGAATGGCTGCGAACCAAAGATCGTGAAGAAAAGGACACCATTATAAGCTCTTGCTCGGAATGTAGATTAATATACCCATTATGGAATGGAAGTCCACAAAATTAAAAATAGAACTACCATATGACCCAGCAACCCTGCTACATTCAAAAGAAATCAGTATGTGGAACAGACACCAGCACTCCCATATAGATGGCAGCATTGCTCACAATAGCCAAGAAATAGAAGCAACCTCAGTTTACATAGAGTGATAAATGGATTTTTAGAAGGTACCTATACACAATGGAATAGTATTCATCAATTAAAGGGGTGAATTCTTGTCATTTGTGGCAGCATGGATGGAATTGGAAATTCATAGACATTGAGAGTAGTATAGTACTAACCAGAGGCTGGGAAGAGTATGGAGAAGGCAGGAATGAGGGAATATTGGCAAATGGACAGCGAGTTATGATTACACAGGCGAATTAAGTTGTTCAAATGTTCTTTTGCACAGTAGAATGAATACAGGTCTTGACAATATCCTGTATATTTCCAAAACATTACAAGAAAGGACTTTCTTTGCACCACAAAGAAATAATGTTTAGGGGAGTAAATATGTATTGAAACATCACATGGTACCCTAAATGTGCAATTTTTATGTATTTTTTAAGTCAAATTTAAAATTTCTCCTGCTTCACTGGCCATTCCTTCTCAACGGCTTTGCCAGTCCCTTCCTCCTTCCTTCTCAATGATCCTGGGATTCATTCCTTTATGGTCATCTTTTTACCCTCTTGGTAATCTCTTGCACTCTGTTCACTTTAAATACCAACTATATGCCAATGGACCTAAAAATTGATATTTTTAAAGTATTCTTCTCCGGAGTCCAACCCAAGAATCYAGCTGCCTAGTTTTTCTTCGAATATCTCATAGATCTCTCAACTGTACTGCCACACATTCCTATATTTTCTTACATCCACTTCCAATAGTCTTCCCATAATCCATCCCTTGGTCCATGCCATCCAGCCTGCTCCCTCTTGATTTTGGCAGCTCTCTCTCTCACCAGTTTCTCTACCCAGAGTTCTTAGAGCCTCTTGTTTATTTTTCTCTTTTTTCTCAACCCTAGAAAAAGGGCACACAAAGTATAACAACCAAATTGAGTGTCCTGTTTTTTTAAAAAAATTCAATGTGTGTTTTGAGGGCCTTCATTTCATCTTTATCCTTTATAACTGATGTGTCCCACATAGGGTGATGCATTCTTTTCAACATAACAAATATTTTCCTTTCTAAAGTAGCAAAGAGATGTTCATTCCATACCCTGGCATGCACACAGCATGTCCACTATCTTGTCCAGATATACCACAATGACAAGCAAACCCTCCATTTCCTTGTGACTGACATTTTTCTTCTTCTCTCCTGCAGCACATCATCTACTCTGTGAAGTTTTTAATTTCCTATATCATTCCGGATGTATCCAAAATCACGAGGAGCAAAATCAAGAGAGAGAAGTACCTAACCCAGAAGCTACTGCATGAGAGTCACCTCAAAGATATGACGAAAAACATGGGAGCTATCGCCGAGAGGATGGTAGAAGTGGTAGATAACAATCTACGACCAAAATTAGAATGAAAGCTTTATGTTCCGAGAAGCACTTTAAAGAATTTAGCTCTGTCAAAATATATTATGAATCACTAATGAGAATGTTTAAGTTAAATCACTTTGGCAAACGTGAACCGTTAACTTTTGCCATTTTCATGTATTTTATTTTTCAGTTTCAGCTAGTGATGCAAAAACTGAAGAATATTAAAACTTATATCAAGAAGGGCATAAAACTAATCACCTGGAAAACCTAATATGCTACCTTCTTTGGTAAATTGGAATTTTAGTAACCCAGTGTGCTTAGCAGCCACCCCTTGAAAGCAGAATGGATCCTTTTTTCTATTTGATTACTTTCATCCCTTCCTATTCTCAAGCACATGATCTCCTTTATTTTTGTGTTTTTTTTATCTCTTTAGTTCACCAAATTTAGTCCAGTTATCTTTTTCTTACCATAATTAAAGACTAGACATGCTACCACTTTAATAGCTTTTATACAATTAAAAACATTGCTTACTCAGAATTGAGTTTGAATGCGGTATTAAGTGGCAAGTAGAATTCTTAATATTTAGGTGTATTATCGCATCCCTATAGAAAGAAACCTCACATAATAGGGAGTAGTTTGTCTCCATTTTGGCCCGTCTTTGCGTGTCAAAGAAATGTTCATAGTGGACTGAAATGACGATAGTCAAGTTTTGAAACATTTATATAAACCCATAGTGACACCTTCTACCTTCTAGGATCACTCCTAGAATGATCTGTGCCTCATCAATGGTGACTGCCTTGAAGATCTCAAGGGAATAAGGTGACAAAAGTAGGGATAGTTACACATTCAAATAGAAGTGTAACTCTGTTCAATCTGGACGACTAAGTTGCCTCTTCTAAAGATGTGTAGTTTCTTGGGAGAAAATTATAATCGAATGATTAAAATTACATTTTTATCAACATAATGTTCTGGAAAAGGAAGTCCATCAGATTCCCACCAGTCAACTTTTATTCACCAAACACAGGAGGTACATTACTGCAAATCACTAAGCGCCTTTGCAAATAGCTCACGGTGTGCCTTCATGGCATGACCATGCTGTGTGGGGTCCAGGGGCAGCAGGTGTCCTAACTGTGAGCCACACCACTGTGGGCTTGTGTGGGGAGCCCTTTCATCAGGGGTACAGCCTGTCTTTGTTTCTGTATGCCAAAGTGATCGACATAACAAAGCAGTTGCCCCCATGAACATGTCTTCCTGCACCTTCCACCCTCAGATTCTGGGCCCTGTAACTCATTTGTAATTGTATGTTTGCACTAGAAATAAGTATATTCAGATTGTTAATCAAAAAAGGAAACTCTGGATTTGATTTCAGCTTGCAGCCTCCTCTAGGGCCAAGTAGGAAGTAAAGGGTAAAAGAACGATTTGGTCACAAACCCTACCATCAGCTGGAGGTCACCTCCTGAAGTCCTGCACCACTATGCTTATCTTACTCTCAAGTTTTGCTCCGCTAGCTGTCCACTGTGCTTTACTGCCTTTTAAGAGTCGGGCCCTGCGGTAGGTCTGGAAAAGACACAGGGCCTACACTTCTTTCTGTTGGCTGGTAACAGGTCAGTGCTGCGTGAAGAAGGCTGTTCCTGCTGCATGGGCCTCTACCCACTGGGATTCTGTTAAATGCTCAGGTGCCCTAGGAAACAACCTATCAGTATCCCAGCAGGAAAGGGAAGTGAAACATGTTTCAATAATCAGATACAGATCGCAGTTTTTAAGAGCCTGCCATCATGAATGTTTCAAAATTTAAAAAAGCGGTATTCTGAGCTTTTGAATTGCCCCAATGGATCATAGACATTTCTCCACCTTCCTTTATCATGCATGTTGACAGAGTGGTCAGAGAGCCCAAAGCAGGCCATATGAGATCTCGCTGCACTGGGACAAGAGATGAATGTCTTCCCACTGGAGGGAACCATTTCTCATTTCCGCACAGCCTAGGTGGAGCACCACTGTTCCTTTTCCCACCCTCTGAGAGACTGCTCCTGGAGGTGCGTGTCGCCTTCTCTCTTATTACCTCTTCTCTGAAGTATGTGACTATCTTACTAGCATTTGATTCATCAACTACTTACTGTTTATGTCACCATAGAAAAGGAAATGTTTTTGCCTTATATACTATTTTGTATATACTATAGAATTTTTTTTTTTCAAATGTGCATTTATGTGTTCATAGCCCCAGCTGAGAGATTCCTCTTCAGAGTTTAAAAATGTGCTGCTATGGACAGGGGCTTTAAAACCCTCACATTTCTAAAGGCAGAAAATGATGTCCGACACTGCCAAGATGCCCAAAAAAGCTAACTTGCAGTGGAGACCAGGGTCCCCCATAACTTCAGCAGTGTTCATGTGTCTAGTGCTACTTGTCAGAAAAATGGACTGTGATTGCATCAGCAAATGGGAGAGATGCCCCCTTCTCCCAGGAGCACCAAGGGGCATGGAAGTTAGCCTGTGACGGGAGGATCTGGCCCTCGACCTGTTCAGTGTTAACCACTATAAAAATTTTAGCTTTATATCCTGTGTATTGCCTGTGAGTTTTAATGGATTGAAGCATTAGACCCACTACTCAGGGGATTTTTCTTTAAACTCCCTCAGATATTTTAGATATCTCAGTAGAAATGAAAAGCCATCGTTTTTGTTTTGAAACTAAACAAGGCCGTCTTGTAAAATGTTTGTCACAAAATACCCGCCTTTGTATTACATGTGCATCTTGGAGTTCACAGAACATTAATTCACAATAGGGGGCAGAATGTGATCTGTTGGTGAAACACATCTTGTACCATTTTCTTGTGTTCATATTATAATGTGTTTGAAAAGTTAAAGTGTCTGAGCAACTTAACTAAAGAGGAACTGAAATATTCATACTTTTCCTACACTGCGGCAAAAGATGTAAAGTTTGTAATTAATGTTAATTTCTATGCATTTTAATATTCTTTTATAATTATGAGCATTTTAATAAATTCATTTTTACAAACAGTGCTCTGTTCTAGTTCATGAATTTCCTAAGAATGAGAACACCTTTATATGCCATTTATTAGTGACCAGTTATGGATCACTTAGCAAATATGTACTTTTGTATAAATTATATCTAAAATTGTATTTTCACAGTCAAAATTTACTTTAGAACATAGTTTTTCCAGGAAAAATTTGGGATGGGGTTTCAGACAGAGCTGCCACCTACAGATGTTGGAATTGAGCCCTGCATAAGACCCTGAGCACCAGCCTCAGGTACTCCCAGTGCAGCTACCAGTGGACGGAAGGGTGCTTTTCTTTAATTTTGTGAAGGCATCTTCACTTGCTAAACCAGGGTTGCAAGGAACAATGTCACATAGGAAGGATGAGTCACTGAGTGCAGAAAGACTCTGTACCTAGAGTCATACAGAAAGGGGAATTTTTTGAGAAGAACATAAAGGATAATCTCATTACAAAAATAAAACCTTCAATAGCATGTGGATATCTTGAGAGGACAAAGTGGCAGAATAGAGGGGGCCCAGCACCGTCTTCTCCACAAAGAACCACCAACATAATAGGTGTATAGCTGGATTTGGAGGCGAGTGGCCACTGGAAATGAGCAGGAGAGACTAAAACCTGGTAAGATTACGATGGAACAACAGCATCGTAAGAAGAACAATATCTCTTTGCATCTGTGGAGCCTGGATCCACAGCCAGGGGAGCTCAAGGAGTTCCCCCTTTGCAGGGGTAGGGGTAAAAGAGCCCCAGGGGAGTGTGGGTGCTGGCAATCCCAACACTGACTCACTGTCTTACAGGCCAGAGAGGTAAGTGTTCTGTCAAGTAAGTATTCTGAAATTTGCATAATTGCTTTGTTTTGGGATCTCACATCATCTCCTATGTAACCTCCAGGGTGCCATAGCCTGGAGCCATACTGAGAAGGAAGCTATTGTCTGAATTTAGACTGCTCTAGGTCAGAAACCCCTGCAAAAACTCACCTCTGGAATTCCACAGGCATTCCACTGTCCTGTCTCATGGAATAGCTGCCCCATGAGCACAACTTGGCCCAGCATAGTAACTTTGACCCAAGCCCACTAGGTGCAACTGCACTGTAGGGGACAGGAGTTAGGACACAGAGGATGCTCCACTCAAGAACCAAAAAAGCAAGTTTACCCTTTGAAACCAGGCCTGAGGCTTGCTGAATGTAGACTCCCACCAGGAATGAAGGCAGGCACCCCCATGGCTCTGGCCTCCTCTCCCCACTACCCCATGCTCAGGGCCTGTTACTAAACAGGGAGGGAACGCCTCAATTTCATCTCTGGTCCTACTAGTAAGGACTTAGCTGAGAGTCCTTTAAGCAACTCTAGCTCCAGCTATTGCCCTACAACCAGGCATGCACAGCTGGGGTAGGAGGATGGGAGTAGGGTACCAGGTGCAACTTGTCCAGCTCTGGCTAAGGTCCCACTCCTGGGCAGGCACTACCACCAAAGCAGTACAGAGAACATCATGGTTCCTGCTGTCACCCAATCTATGTGGTTCCCACCCAAGTTACCTGACCACACACTGCTGTCAGGATCAGGTGTGAGTGCCACTTCCTCTTATGGAGCATCTGGTTATAGGACAAGGACCTCAGGCCCCACATCACTGCTAGTAACACAGCTAGCATCAGTAAAGCCTGAGGAAACCACCCCCCCTCTCATTGTAGGACAGCCACACCATGAACACTCCACATCTACCGATTTCTACACCACACCTGCCTGAAGTGCTATAATACCCCACTCTTGCGTGGCCACAGAGACAGTGGGTCTTTATGACTCTGCCATAGTACATACTGTGCCCAGCTAAAATCAAAGCCAATATTGCATAACAAACATCCTAAGACATTTTCAGAAGAAAGTTGCTTAGGAAGGTAACCAACTCATGAAAATGGTAGAAATACCTAATTCACCAGATGCATAAATCCCAACTTAGGAACACAATAAATATACAAAAACAAGATACAAAAGAGTTATTTGGAAGTGTTAACAGAGTCCAAAGAAAAAGGGATGAAATGCTTGATTCAGAATCTAAAAGAATGATCATTTAAAAACTCAATGAGTTCCAAGAGAATACAGATAAACAAATGAAATTAGGAAGGCAGGATATAAATTAGGAATTATGCAAAAAAAAAAAAAAAAAGTATCTTGAGCCAGGCAGGGTGGACATGCCTGTAATCCCAGAGGCTTGGAAGACTAGGACAGGAATATTATGAGTCCAAAGCCAGCCTCAGCAATTTAGCAAGGCGCTAAGCAACTCAGTGAGACCCGTCTCTAATAAAATAGAAAACAGGGTTAGGGATATGGCTCAGTGGTCGAGTGTCCCCAAGTTCACTCCCTGGTATCCCCTCCCCATTTTTGACATACCTAAAGGCAAGGAGAAACAATGTTAAGGACACAGAAAACCTAGTCTATGAAATAATTCAAAACCTGCCTAATCTTGACCAAGATATGGACATCCATGTACAGGATAATTATAGAGCCCTAAATAGACATGACCAGAAAAGATCCTCACCACAGCATTAATTATAGCCACGGTACAAAAACAAAACAATACAAAGAATTTTTACATCTACAAGAGAAAAATCACATTTAAGGTCATTTCCATTATTTTGACAGAAAATTTCTCAGTAGAAACTTGCCCTATAGACCAGAAGGAGATGGAATGACATATTCCAAGTCTTAAAAATAATTACCAACCAAGAATACTATAGCCAGCAAGTCTGTCCTTTGGAAATTAATAAGATACAAGCAAAAACAGAGAATTCATGACCACTAACCCAGCCTTAACAGGATGCATGAGGGAGTCCTACATCCATAAAGGAAAGAAAGATAACTACTATCATAAAAGCATGTAGAAGCATAAATTCCATTAAAACAAGAGATAATAGTATACCTATAAGAAACTCACTTCACAAGACATACAAACTGAAAGGTGAAAGGATAGAAAATGATATTCTAAGAAAATGTAAACTAAAAGCAAGCAGGAATAGGTCTACTTATGTCTGACAAGAGATATTAAGATAAAAACTATAAGAGAAAGAAGGACACTATATAATGAATGACCAAGAGATCAATTCAACATGAACTTAGAATCATTATAAATCTATAAACACTGAATGTTGGAGCACCCAATTTTATAAAACACTATTAAACCTAAAGACAGAAAGCTCCCTACTGTTGTATTGGAGCCTAACACCCTACTTTCATCAATGAACATATCATCCAAACAAAAAATTAGCAAACATCAGAATTATGCTATAATGTGGATAGAATGGACTTACCAGACATTAACAGAACATTCCATCCAA